TACTTCAATCACTCCTACACAAACTATTGAATAATTAATAAAACGTTTGTTATTATATTTTGTTAATAGATCTTGTCCTTAATGCTTACTTCAATCACTCCTACACAAACTATTGAATAATTAATAAAACGTTTGTTATTATATTTTGTTAATAGATCTTGTCCTTAATGCTTACTTCAATCACTCCTACACAAACTATTGAATAATTAATAAAACGTTTGTTATTATATTTTGTTAATAGATCTTGTCTTTAATGCTTACTTCGATCACTCCTACACAAACCATTGAATAATTAATAAAACGTTTGTTATTATATTTTGTTAATAGATCTTGTCCTTAATGCTTACTTCGATCATTCCTACACAAACTGGATCTTAATCTTTATTATCATCCTCAAAAAACGATGATTCGTTATCGTTGTTTGCTACTAATATTATTGTTCAATGTTGCTATATATAACAACTACTGATTGATAGATATTCATAATAATCATTAATGAAACTTTAATCAATATAAAGTCAGAAATATAAAACAATCTAATAAAATACCTTTTAGTTTTTGCTGAATCCCATCTACAAAAATTCTTCATGACTACTAAATTTCTATAAAATAGTTTTTCGTGAACCTCTCTAAAACTTATTAACCAATACCCCCCATAAAGTAATGACCATATGAAAGCTTAAAGTATTCTACACCTTCTCATTTACTATCAAGTCTTTTAAAGCGATATTGAGAAATAATCTGAGCTTTGAAGTGAAAAAGTAATACCGTTTTGGAATAGCAGTGAATTCATGTAGAGAAGACCTTTTGATATGAAAGAGTATTCATTAGAAAGCTTTAATGGAGTACTTTCATTTTACTCTAACAACAAAGTTCGAGTTTATTATAAAAATAACGAGATATTTTAAAAAAACTTCATGTGACACGAATTTCGAATTTATTTTCACATATAGAAAATCAATTGATGTGACATGTCCTGTGACTAGTATGTTAATAAGAGATTCTATAATAAACAAAATAATGTAATTATTGAAATATACTATATATTCTATTTATTTTTATAACATAAAAACAATTCATTAAATTATAGATAGTAACTAAAAACCATCTAAAATGAAAATTGCTTCAAAAGTCAACATAGAATAATGCCAACTTCTTATTGATTCTTGAAATGGTCCCAAACTTTTGTAGAGCTTTTTTTTTTTGTAAAATAAAAAATGTTTCATTTATTTATAATATAACCTAATATACGAAAGATAATTTAATAAAATTTATGTGTGTAAAAATAAAACAAAGAATCAAAAAATATCTTACAAACCAACAAAGAATTTGAAATTATCTTATATCGGAATAATGGTGGAAGATATTTTAATCCAATATGACTCAAAACGTTGACGTTAGTATTTAATCCAAACTGCATTTTCTGAATGGTCATTGATTTCATTCCTAGTCAAAGGATGAATCATAACTGAATGTTCGCCCCTATGTAAAAGAAACCACAAGTACACCCTTTAAAAATGCTCTTTTGGACACCACATTTCATATGATTGCATAATAAACATTAATGTTAATTAATAAATAGTTTGTGTAAATACAAGATCAAAATATGTTAATATTCATTAACAGATGATATTTGCATACAAAAATTCGTCAACATGTAAAAGACTCTATTTTATTTCGTGTAACAATTGTAGAAGGAAAGTATCCCCCATTTTTTATTAATATTAACAAACAGGGTCTTTTGACCAAATTTGTGTTTTTTACATAATACTATCCTATAACATGTAGATTATAATTAGTGAGGATATAAGACCTCGGAGGTGGGGACAGCCCCAATTTATTATTTATTTAGATGTCCTCTTGCTCGTTCACCACTTCCCTCTCATCTGTTTTAACACATTGAAACAAGGCGAGCCATTTTGACCTGAAAAGATAAAACAAATTTATCGGCAATAGGAAATGAATACCAATTAGTCAAAAGATGGATAATGAAACAAAGTAAATTATTTAATGCAACTGGTAATCCATGTTCTATTGATCCAGGTGCTTGTACACCTTGGATGGTATTTGATTTTAATGATAGTGCAAGGTAGCCTTTTGTTAAAGCCGATTATTTAACACGTATGGCTGATGATGGCTCAAAATTTTGGGCCACCATAGTCAGCTAATTGCAAGCAATTCACGATAGTTCAGTGCTTGTCAATTATTTAGCTCTTGGATTTACTTTGGTTCTCGCTTACTGCCCTGTTCTTGTACCCAGAAAGCCTCGGCAAACCTGTAAGTAACACTCAATGATACGCGATAACTGTAAATAAACAAAGATGGCTCTTTTACAAAGCCAATAAAGTTCCTTCTATTCACTTGTGATCGATTATTTCAGCCATTTATCCTTGTCTATGTTTATTTTGCTGATTGCAAATTTGCTTTCTTCATTACAAAACAACTTAAACGGATCGTTTAACTGCCTCACGTTTACAATAACACTATAGTTGTTATAATTGATCTTTTCGCTAAAGCAAATTACGTTACTAGTCGTTGTTAACACTCACTAGTCATTCATCGTTAGTCCTAACTTTTGCTTATTAACTTAAAATATGGCTTTTTACCAAAGCTCCACAATTTTCGCCTTTTTGCTAAAGCGCTTTGCTTTAAACAAAACAATGGTTTTATAAAGTTTATTTATGATTTTTAAGGATGACTTTGTAGAGGTTTGATTTTATTAGAATGTTAAGGTGATATTTGTTCTCCTTTGCCTTTTCAAGTGATGACCCGAAAGAAGTTATTTACAACTTGATTGAATTTATTTCTAGATTGTTTATAATGAAAATCTTTGTAATTAATATTCTAAATCATGAGTCACTGTAATGGACAAAAGTCCGGCTATTGATCAGGTCCATATTAATATCCAAGATATATATTGCTTGTATCCGATTAATTATTACCTGTATCCGATTGATAATTGGACACAAACATTTATTAATTATCAAAAATAAATTCAAGGTTGGGGAAGTTTGCTGATAACTATGGTGCCGTAATGGGCAAAAGTCTATTTAATAAATGGCACCTAACCATATAATTTGGGACAGACCCATTTTTTAGTCATCAACCCAATTATTCAATAATAAATGGATGATTCTTTATGAACGGCAGTATTTCTATAGTAAAATTTACTATTACTATGCCATTTTTTTGCCATTCCTCAATCTCATGTACACCCGATTTGAGTATAACATACCAATATGTGGGACCTTTTCCAGCAAAAACAGTCTCTGAAGTCATCTGACCAAATTTGTGTTTTTTACATAACATTAATCTATAACACAAAAATCATAATTAATGAAAATATTAGACCTTGTTTGCCTAATAAAAAAAAACGGGGAATCGTAGGCCAGATGCCTTTTTAAAATAATTGGCACAAGTTTAAAATTGAAAATCGCCTCTGAGGTCATTTGACCGAATTTTGTGTTATTTGCATAATATTAATTTATAACATAAAGATTATAATTGGTGAAAATATCAGGTCCTGTTTGCTCTGTAGAAAAAAACGAGTAATTGGGCAATAAACGGTTTCGTTTTATATTGTGTAACTAAATTTGGATCCAATTTAAATTATTGAACACCTTATTATAGTGACATAAAAACAAAAAATTATATGTATATATGACATCACAGATCGAGTTGCGAATTAATTTTGGGTAATAAAAATCCGTGTATGTAATCCTTTTAAAGAGTGTAACACAACAATGTTTAGTAAATATTTGACAAATAGATATAAACTCGTCCGTATTAATCTTTTCTTAAACTGTCCAGGTTTCTTTAATTGTTTATTTTATAAGTGTAATATGATGTTATGACAGTGAAGCTAAATGAATTCTGGATTTTATTTTATTATTAATCATATTAATAATAACAACAACAATATTTACTGTCATTTCACAAATAACCAAATTAATAGATGCCATTTATTAAATGGACTTGTCCATTACTATTACGGCGTCCTGTAGATAAAACAATCCCGATCTTGTTTCAAGACTTGCTAAATCACAAAGTGGCATTTCAAAGTCATAAAGCAACCAACAGAAACTTTGCAGTGAGAATCAAGAAGTTGGCAAGAAAAATCCAATAATGAGAAAAGGAAAAAGCATAATTGGAAAAAAAAGTTTGGATATAAATATTTTAAAACTTATATGAATTGTCAAACAAGCACATGATGCGTTCGCCAATTTCTTTCAAAAACAACCCAAAAGGCTCTTCTTAACATCTCACATTTTAAATTTCGTATCCATTTATTCTCAAAGATCAAAAATTTGCTACATAGAACCGTTTGATGTAATAAAAAAATATAATTGTAAAGTATGTAGTAACTCAATAAAAATAGAGATTATGTGGAGGTTTCAAATGTTTAGTTTACGTTCCATTGCTGATGTACGCATACATGTAAATGCATAGTGACACCTCATATTAAATAGTTGCCCTCAATAAATGAAATTTATCTCCATAAATGTATAAAAGAATAATTTAGGAAATTTCATTTCACACAACATCTATGATTACCAAAAAAAACATTGTTTTAAATAGCATACATATATTATATATTATCAAATTTATTTATTAACAATGGGTAATATTTGCTGTTGTGGGGAAAAAGCCAATAGTGATGATGGCATTAAACAACCTTTTAAAGACTCGCAGTCATCACAAGAATTAAAAGGTGATTATAACCAATTAACATATCCAATGGTGGTAAATCCAGTGAAAAATCCAACGACAAATCCAGTGACAAATCCAATGACAATAACGGCAGTAACAAACAATTCTGTGCTCAATATAAATATATCTACACCAAAAGAAGATATCTACAGTAATAAAAGAAGACTAGAGTATGATACTTGTGCAAATTGTGATAGATATAATACATCAAAGGCACGATGTAAATCATGTGATCCAAATCTTCAGGATGAACCATCAGGTATTAATTAATCTATAGGTACTCTCTTTGTTTTTAATAAATTTATTTATTTATTAAAGATGTTAGTACTTGTTTGGATGTAATTAGGGGATCCTGATTATCAATTTGAAATGGAATTACCTCATGAAATTAAAAATGAAGGAGAAGAGGATGAGGAGCCACCAGGTGAGTAGATTATTGAATCATGAAGGAATATATATATAATTTTTTTTTGATAATAATTTTCAATTAATGTTATTTTATTTCTTATTTTTTTTTTATATGAAATTTAGAGGATCCTGATTGTCAGTTTGAAATGGAATTACCTCGTGTCATTAAAAATGATGATGATGGTGATGATGATGATAAGCCACCAGGTTGATACAAGATTATCTATGTAAGTTGATTTGATAGTAATTTTATTAAAAATTTTTTTTAAATAAATTAGAGGCTGATAAATCTAAGGATGATGACAACGAACCACCAGGTAAATAGATTAAATTAATACAAATTGATATAGTAATCTATTTCAATACAAATAATCATAAATGTGTATATTAGAGGATATTGATGATCAATTTGGAATGGAATTACGTGATGATGACATTAATGATGATGAACCACCAGGTGAGTTGATGATATTGATTTATATGTTGAAGTTAAATTAGTTGATGTGAATATTCAATTTATTAATTAAAAGTGATATAGTGCAGGACACCTAGTCCCACAACTTTTTATTGGTCTTGTATATTCTTTAATATACCAGAAATGGAAATGTAGCACACAAAAAAAAAACATGATTTTGAAGCTAAGACCTTTCTCCACAAAGCTACGATTTCATTTTGTTGATATGTCACATTACCATGGA